CTCATGAGGGAGGGGGGAGCGGGGAGGGAGGGGAAAAATGAGGACCTAAAGTCGGGGGTTTAAGTGGAGAGAAAATGTTTTGAGAATGATGTACAAATGTGCTTTACACAATTGATGTGTGTATAGATTGCGATAACAGTTGTATGAGCCCCTAATAAAATGTTTAAAAAAACAAGTCAAATCCAAAAAAAAAATTATATACATGTATTTCTAAGACATAACCCTCATGGACAAAGAAAAAATTTTGAACGACAAAGCTACAAATTAGATGGAGAAGTAATTAACATAAGACCTCACTGATCCAAGAAAGCTCATTCTTACGCTGGCAACAGGGAAAACCAAACAGCCTGACTTACAGAAAAGAACTTCTAACAACTCAGGAACTGGTAGCACTGAACCAAGCCCACTGCCATCAAGTTGATGCTGACTCAGAGAGACCCTATGTGGGATTCATGGGAATAAATCTTTATGGGAGCAGACAATCTCAGCTTGTCTCAGAGAGCAGTTGTTAAATTTGAACCGGCAACCTTAAGGTTAACAACCCAATGCTGAACCCACACAGGCACTAAGGCTCCTTTAAACTAGAGGTAAAAATAGGGCTAAAAACAGGACTGGCTGAAAGTCTGTTTAAGAGAGGTTAAATCCTCACCAAGAAAGGGCGTTTACCTGAGGGTACAAAAAGACTGTTCCACAGCTGGTCTCCCCCAAATATACATATGTCAGACCTAGGGCACTGTTTGCAACGAATGGTAAATGATTGCCAAGTTATCTCCCTGAAGACACCAGCCTTCCACAGGAAGCAGACACCATTGTTTCTCCCACAACAGGTGGGGCTCACTCCCTGCTGTTAGGGATAGTGGGTTGCTTCCCCTGAAAGCTTAGACTATATCAAGTCTCCAGCTCAAGGGTGACCATATTGAGACTGGAGTCCACCCTTCTTGTCACATGTGTACCCTTAGTCCCTCCCTTTCCTATTACATGTACACACCTAGCTCATCCCCTTCCTGGTATGCTTACGCCTATTGTACAGCCTTTTCCTGTGATGTGTATGCCTAGTGTACAACCCTTCCTGTGACATCTTTACCTGTAATTAGGGGCATGCAGGCCCCCACAGATATATAAGCCTAGGTTAGTAATAAGTCTTGCTCGCTCCTGCCCTCCCGGCTCCTACCTCCACGTGTACCACCAAGAGGAACTGAGATGAGCATGCTACTATGAAATGTGTCTGACTTCATTTTACTCTCTCTCCTATTTCTCTGACTTTATGATAATCTTTATGTATATTTTAACTGTACAACTGCACTTTCTGAACCTGTGATAGTGTGAGGGGTGGACTATCCCCCATAATTACCCTCTCAAAAGAGACAACTACAAGAAAGCTTTCAGAATATTTGTGTAAAATGGAATTAAAAGATAACAGAATTTTCACACCAAATTAATGATGTCCCCTTCTAAGAGTCACACTGAAGAAGCCAGACACAAATGAGCGTGAAATACGATGCTAAAAATAAGGTGCTGAAGCGAAAATATATGTACACATTATCCCAGAAAGCAAAGCAAAACTGCTAAGATAAAAAATTTGTAAAGATAAGAAAATTCCTGGGCCAGTTCATAAAATATGTAAATGATAATCAGAAGAAATCTATATAATAATGTACTCTAAACACTGCTTGAGAACTACAAAATTGGTTTCCAGATTGAATACCAGCCCTGCACCAAGCATACCAAGAAATACAGGAAGAGGAGGGAAAAGAAACCACAGAGCACATTCAGTAGATGAAAGTCTAGCGATAGGTCTGTGACACCAGAGGAGCACAAGGCAGAGTTCTGAGCTTTCCAGCGCACAAGCCAGGTCAACTGGAGTGCCTTCGGGCAGAAGGCTCACTTTCGGAGTGGGTTGCCTCCAGGCACTTACAAGGGTAGCTAAGTACGCTGACTCACAGAGCAAGAGCTGAGCACCTTCAGGCTGAGGTGTACAGCAAAATGGTGCACTCTTTAGGCATTTATAATGGGTGCTAATGGAGTATGGAGTTTGTAACATCACCAAAGCTGGGAAAAGGTCAAGGGCCATGTGGCTAAGAGGCTGAAAACCAAAAAGAAGTATGCATGAGGGAACAGCTGAGAGTAAGTGCTCTTAACTGGAAGTTCAGAACTGCTAATTCCTGATTCTGTTAACTTCCTTAATAAACCCCCTAATTGAGAGAATCTGTAAGCTGTGTGGCAACTGCAATGAATTAGCAAGTCCAGCTGTGACATACACAGAGTGCAGGAGGAGGGAGAGCTGGTATCAAGACTGGTAAAGAAAGTGCGAGGATGGAGTTATTATGTCTAACCTCCACCTCATAGAAACTGGCCTTTGACATTGGGCGTCCACTCTAGTACTCCCTCAATGCAAGAATGCTTTCATCTCTTAAACTGGCATTCCATGATGCTCACCTTCATGACATGATTGCTGAAGACAAAGCAGGTGCATAAGCAAATGTGGTGAAGAAAGCTGATGGTGCCCAGCTATCAATAGATGTAGCATCTGGGGTCTTAATGGCTTGAAGATAAACAAGCGGACATCTAGCTGAGAAGCAACAAAACCCACATGAAAGAAGCACACCAACCCGTGTGATCACAAGATGTTGATAGGATCAGTACCAGGCATCAAAGTACAAAAAATCATATCATGGTGCATGAGGGGGAGTACAGATTGGGGACCCAAAACCCATCTGTAGGCAACTAGAAATCCCCTTACAGAAGGTTCGTGGGGAGGAGACGAGCCAGTCCGGGTGCAGTATAGCAACGATGAAACATACAACTTTCCTCTAGTTCTTTAATGCTTCCTCCCCCCCACTATCATGATCCCAATTCTACCTTTCAAATCTGGCTAGACCAGAGCATGTATACTGGTACAAATAAAGAGGTGGAAACACAGGGAATCCAGGACAGATAAACCCCTCAGGACCAATAAAGGGAGTAGAGATACCAGGAAGAGAAGAGGGAACCGATCGCAATGATGTACATATAACCCCCTCCCTGGGGGAGGGACAATAGAAAAGTGGATGAAGGGACACATCGGATAGTGTAAGACATGAAAAAATAATGATAATTCATAAATTATCAAGGGTTTGTGAAGGAGGGAGGGGAAAAAATGAGGAGTTGATACCAAGGGCTCAAATAGAAAGAAAATGTGTTAAGAATGATGATGGCAACAAATGTGCTTGACCCAATGAACATATGTATGGATTGTAAGCCCCCATTATAATGATTAAAAAAAAAAAAAAAAAAAGCAATTGGCCTTAGGCTGATGTTTATGAAGTCAAATGTCACCCAAACCATTCTTACAGTTCCCGGTTAAAATTTAGAGGGCGTATAATACATCTAAATATTGAAACACTTAAAATTGAAGAGTGGGGGATTAAGCTATTAATAAATACATAGAAAACTAAGCAAATAAAAGCCTAAGGACTTCAGGGAAAATAAATTGTATAAGAAATTAAACATCTTCTTACCACCATCAAGTAAATTCTGACTCATGCAACCCTACAGGACAGGGTAGAAATGCCCCTGTCGGCTTCCAAGACTATAACTCTTTTCGGGAGTAAGAAGCCTCATTTTCTCCTTGAAGCAGTTTCAAACTGCTGACCTGGGGTTAGCAACCCAACATATAACCACTACAAAACCAGCGCCGCTTAACATTCCTACAAATCTCGGGGGGGAAATTTTTTAAAATCATTTCACTGGGGGCTCATACAGCTCTTATCACAATCCATCCATCCATCCATTGTGTCAAGCACATTTGCACATTTGCTGCCATTATCATTCTCAGAACATTTGCTTTCTACCTGAGCCCTTGATTTTTTTCTCTCCCTCCCCGCAAATCTGAAAATTTTATATAAATTTTAAAATTAGAAAATGTTGATAATGTACACAGTCACAACTACAAATCCCAAACTACATACATTGCATGCAGTAAGAAATAGTTTTTTGTGGTTTTTTTCCGAGACAAAGTCCAGGAAAGAAACACTAGTGTAGAGCTTAATTTCTGTAATTCACCAGCTTTCTTCACCATGATTTGGTGGTGACAATCTCAAAATTTACAACAAATACAATATGTTTGCTTTACCTGTGATGATTCATCCTTAGCTTCTTGGAAGCGTTCAGCTATAAAAATGTTGTAAGCTGAGCGAGGTCTTTTTGGTTTTCCAAGCATTGATAGCTCCTGCATCACAAAAATAGAAGAATCAGATATGGCTTTGATATCCATGAGATGTCATTTTAATTATGGAAACTTTAGTCACTACTATACAGTATAGAATATTCCTGAAAGTGAATACTATGATCTTGTATAAAATACATGATTATAAAGTCAGAATTACTTAGCAATGCTGTTTTGAAAATTGTAACATACTTTAACATACTGATACAGAAATTATTTTCATAGTTTCCATTAACTGTATTAAAAACAGAAACTTTGAATAGACGCTTGTCTCCTGACAACCCCACGTAGTACAGAGTAAAACTAGTCCAAAGGGTTTTCTTGGCTGTATCTTTACAAAAGGAGCCCTGCTGGCACACAGAGCTGAGAGCTTCACTGCTAACTAACAGAATGGCAGCTCACACCCAGCAGTGGCCGGGGGAGAAAGACCTGGAGATCCACAGAAACTATCCCAAGAAAATCTTTTGGAGCAGGTCCACTGTCATAATGGGCCAGGAGTCAAAATCCACTCAACACCTAACACCAACACAATCTTTATAGAAGATGGCCAGGTCTTCTGCAATACTGATTGGTGGGTTAAAACCACCATCCTTAAGTCACAGTATCTGCTCACTGCCATCAAGTCACCTCCAACTCACAGTGACCATCTACGGAGTTTTCAACTGTAAACTCTACAGACGCGGATTGCCTCATCTTTCTCCTGCAGAGCAGCTGGTCTGTTTAAGCACCAATCTTGCATTAAAAGTCCAGCACTTAAACTTAACCCAACAGCATCACCCAACTTAGTAGTCTAAACCTGCGGTTCTCAACCTGTGGGTTGTGACCCCTGGGGAGGGGGGGTGTCAAACAACCCTTTCACAGGGGTCACCTAATACCATCAGAAAACACATTATTTCCGATGGTCTTAGGAACGGAGACACCGTTCCTCTATCCATCTCCAGGCAGGTCCACCCACATGCAGATATGCCCATATATGAGTATCTCGCGTGAAGACTGTTAGCCATGCTACGCCATGCTTCAAGACAAAATTTCATTTATTTGTCATTAGAAATAACTATTTCACAATATATAATTACACATTCTCTTTGTGATTAATCACTATGCTTTAATTATGTACAATTTGTAACAATGAAAATATATCCTGCATATCAGATATTTACATTACGATTCATAACAGTAACAAACTTACAGTTATGAAGTAGCAACAACAATAATTTTATGGTCGGGGGTCACCACAACATGAGGAACTGTATTAAAGGGTCGCGGCATTAGGATGGTTGAGAACCACTGGTCTAAACTGTGCCATCCAAAACCCTTTCAACAGGTTTACCACACATATTTACAAAATCCTTTTTTAAGCGATAGTTAGCCCAGTTTCATTCCTGAAGGGGACTATGACCCACACAGCACAACCAAGCATCTCTCACCCCATTCCCTTCCCAGCTCGTCTCTCAACCTTTAAACCACAATATGTGTGTTTTTATTATTCCTAACTAGGTACCAAAAGGAGAAAACATGGAAAAGAATACAAGTGTCCCTTGTTACATAGAGCTTTTTAGTTCCTGGATTCAAGTGATGAAGGATGTGGCATTATCCCATGCAATTTTGTTTCTGAATAGACAGTGAAGAGTAGCTAATTTACAAAATTCTGTAGATTTTAATGATTATCTATGGTCAATGACAATTCCAACTTGAATACTGATAAAAGCTGACTCTTCCCATATAAATTCAGGGTTTCTGATTTTCATCTAGAGATTATTTCCATCTTCCTGGACCTCTCATTATTTAATAAAATCATTGTAGAGTCCACGTACTTTACGATTTAAACAATTTCCCAGTTGTTTCTTCTACAGTTTCTAGTTGCCACACTTCTCAGCTACCTTTGAAATATGAGAGTACAATTCCAAAAGGGGAGTGTGAATATACAGAGAAACTCCTAGCATCTGCCCCCAGTCCTCATCGTTGGTCCCTTCTCTTCTTAGCACTTTATGTGAGCACTAAAGCATCATTTTATTAATCTTTTATTAATTGGGTCAGCAGTCCTAGTGCTATGACATAACTCAGGGAGAGCTATCATGGAATCCCCTATTCAAGGCTGGCATTAATTCTAATATTCATTTTACATAATACAGAATAAACTACCAAGTTGATGCCCTCAGAACTAATACTATTTCCTTAAGAAAGGGTGGTCTAACTTTCAAGTAATAAAGTTATTTGAATTAACATCTTGCTGTTAGCTATCGTAAAGTCAATTCTGGCTCAGAGATGCCATGCTTTGTACTAGTACAGGATTTTCCTGAATATAGTATTACAGGAACAGATGCTCAGTCTGGTTTTTCACTTAAGAGTTTTTGCATAGGTTCAAGCCACCAACCTTTCCACTGATGGTGGAATGCTTAATTGTTTTTGCAACTAGCGAATAAACAAACCAAACCCAGTGCTTCAATTCAATTCCAACTCATAGCAGTCCGATCAGACAGAAGTGAACTGCGCCTTTGGCTTAATCTTCACAGCAGACCGTCTCGCTCACCTTTCCCCCGCAGAGCGCATGGCTGGGGAGTTCTAGTTACCCTGTGGTCACAGCCCGACTCACAGTCCGCCACAGCAGCAGGGGGCGCCTTAGGGACACGTCTCAAAACAAACACACCACACCTACGGCCACCCTATTGATTCCAACTCGTAACAATCTTAGTGTGTCCCAGGCTATTGACCTTTATGGAAGCAGATGGCCTCTTTCTCTCCCAGAGTTGCTGTTGGGTTTGACCCACAGATCTTGAGGTTAACAGTTCAGTACTTAACAGCACAGTTACAAAATGGTCAGTTACAATATGGTTACATCCAAATGTAGCAACAGAAGTATACAAGGAAAATTCAAAGGCAAGAGGCCTTACCCTGTTTCCCCGAAAATAAGACAGTGTCTTATATTAATTTTTGCTCCCAAAGAGGCGCTAGGTCTAATTTTCAGGGGATGTCTTGTTTTTCCATGAAGAAGAATACAGTACACATCTATTGTTTATTGTTTTATTAAAAGAGACCTCGCACTTCCTGTCTGCTCTGGCAGCGCTGCGGCCAACAGTGAGCTGCGTGGTGGCGCCCTCCGCTATGGTCCAGAGTCCAGAGTTACGGTAGCTTCAGGGGGAGGGGGGGCTTATTTTCGGGGAGGTCTTATTTTCAGGGGATGCCTTATATTTCAGCGAGAGGCAAAACTGTAAGTAGGTCTTATTTTCAGGGGATGTCTTACTTTCGGGGAAACACGGTAGGAGCAGAGGTTAAGGGAAAAAAAGGTCCCATTTTTGCCTAACTAAATACACTTACTGACATTCTACCACTTATCCACAAATAAAGATAAATCTAATCCCCAAACCATACAAATTTCGACTCACAGGCACAGTATATGAACATGTCAACACTCACTCTCTTTTTCATTAATGCTTTCTTTTTTAAACGTCTTTGCATGACTTCTTTCTCCATTGTTAAAATTTGGTTTGGAGTTAACTGTTCTTGAATTCTGTTTATCTCTTCTTTGTAGGCCTCCCAGTCAGCCCTGTAAGCATCTTCATAGAGCTGTAAATGAAAAAGAGTTAAGAGGTCCACAAACAGCTGTTGACAAATTTAACATAGCACACCTGTTAGAGACAGATAATAAACATTTCAAGTAAATGAAACCACAAGACAGAAAACATGAGTTGGCATCACATGCATGTGGATTAAAAAACATGCTTGTTTCCCATATGCATGCTAAGCATGGTAAAACTCTAGCCATTAGTCTTCAATGTCAATTTGCTGACAATCTTTGACCTCCACCCCCAAAATCCACATTCTCATCATTTATAAGGATTGTAAATTATAATTTTCCTTTGCAGAAAATAGATGTTAAAAAATATATATGAAGTCTGGGCGATCTGGTCCCTTAAAGACATCATTATCCCTAACCACGCGGGTCAGCAATGTTAAAGACCTATGTGCTCACCGACCAGTGAAATCAAAGTGAGTCCAGAAATAAACCTACACATCTATAGGCAACTCTTGAATAAGGGTACCAAGTTCATTTGTGGAGAGAGTGTCCTCAATAAAAGGTGCTGGGAAAATTGTATTTTCAAATGCAGAAAAACATAATGGGATCCATTCTTCATACTACACACAAAATGAAAATAAAAAATGAGGAGGACCTAAATGTACAAACAAAAACTATAACAATTTAAAAAGTAATTGCAGGAGCAATGCTGCCAAGCCTGGCTTGTAACAATGATTAAGTAGTAGAAATAACTAAGGTAAAAAGAGAAAAGGCAAAATAAATGGGACCTATAAAAATTCTAAACTTTTCACCAGAAGAACTTTACCAAGAGAGTGAAAAAACTAGCTATCAATTGAGAGATATCTTGAGAAGCCATATATCCAATTAAGAATCCAATTAACTAAAAGATACATAAAATTTTGACAACAACAAAAACATAATCCTAAAATGGGCAAAGGACTTGAATATATCTTTCAGTAGGAGGAAATTCACAAAACACATAAAAGATGCTCAATGTCAATACCCAATGGAGCAGTGCAAATTAAAACCAAATGAGACACCATTTCACTAAGGTAGAAAAAAGCAGAAAGCAAACAATAACAATTAAAAAAGCAAACAATCACCAGAGATATGCTGGAATTGTAACCCATATCCATTACTGGTAGGAATGTAAAATATATAGCCACTGTGGAAGAGGATTATAGTTCTTCAAAAAACTAAAAAACAGATCTACTGTGACTCAACAATTCCACTCTAAGACTTGACAGCAAAGACTCAGCAATGTGTTATCTGCAATACCCTAATCGGGCTGGTTTCTGTGCAACAGTATCCATAATAACCTAGCCATCCATCCCTAGATAAATGGACAAAGTGTGGTACATACACACAAAAAGAAAAATGACATTTTAAAGTTCTAAGTTCAAGAACTTACACTTCCTGCAACCAACAGTTTCAAAACATTTTCTTTCTTCTTGAACGCTTTGATATCAGCTCCCCTTTAAAACCCTCCCTCCTCCACCCTACTCCCCTGGAGCCCGTATTATGATAAATTACCATTATCTTACACCATCTAATAATCTGCTCACCCACAATTCTGTCATTCTTTCTCGAGTGGGATTGTACAGTCAACATTGCTATCAGCTCCCCCACTCCCTGTACCCTCAGGGAATCATTACTCCCTTTACTGTTTCTGAAGGGTTATCACTCATGCATCCAAAGATCTTAATTATACAAATGAACAGATAGGTCTGACAAGATTAATGAAGCAAAACAAAGACCATAAAAGTGGATGATATATTAAAAGAACTAGAGGACAGTTATGTGTTTCATCAGTGCTATACCGCACCCAGGCTATATCATCCTTCCCATGTGGCCCTTCTGTGAGGGACGTCCAACTACCTTACAGGTGGGTTTTAGGTCTCCACTTTGTCCACGCTCCTTCATGCCAATTTGGTTGTTTTTGAACTGTTACCTATTCCCGTGGATGCCTCATGATCACACAGGTTTGTGCTTCTTCCATGTGGGATTTGTTGCTTTCCTGCTAGATGGCCGCTTGTTTAACTTCAAGCCTTTACGACCCCAGATGCTATCTTTTAATAGGCAGGCACCATAAGCTTTCTTCACATTTGCTTATGCACCCATTTTGTCTTTAACAATTATGTAGGGAAGATGAGTATCACAGTGCCACATTATTAGAACAAACCATTCTTGTAAAGTAAGGTTTAAGTAGAGGCCCAAAGTCTATCTGCTTTCTTGTTGTATTTATACACACACACCTATCTTTATATATTACATATATATGTACATATATATTTACATATCTTTATATATTTACATACATTAAATATCTAAAAATTACATATTTAGATACCTATATATGTAATTTTTACTTTCTTCTTTTTCTTTCCTCCTGTCCCACTATCATATTTACCCATCCTCACCTCTCAGTAATTCCTCTCAGATTCATTTCAATTGATCAAACACGACCAGGAATGCTACACCATCGTCACTGTCAATTTGAGCAAGTTCATGAACTTTGTGAAACCGCCTCAAACAAGGGAATACTGCCCAGCCAGTAGGAGAATGGAATTTTTCATACACGTTACAATGTGGGTAAAGTTTAAATAAGTTATGTTAACTGAAATACAGAAATCACCCAAGTACAAATAACGGACGCCTCATTTATATAAGACAAGAAAAGGCCAGTTCGAGGCCAGTTTACTAGCAGCCGCCAGGGGGGCGAGAGGGGAGAGAAGGAAAAATATCCGTTATGGATACCGAGTTATGCTTGATGGTGATAGGGACACTGCACTGACTGAGGCTTCAGAGCTAATTATAACAAGTACTGTCAATGAATTACAGAAGATCGAATTGGTAAAGGTGTATGACAGACATAGTTATAATAATGACAAAGAAAAGCTGCTGTTGAGGTTTCTTATTTACAACCAGAAATATCCTTGGTTTGGAAGTTTAGAATCATGATATCCTAGGACATCCACTAGTTGGCCTAAGAATATATTTAGAGTGTGTCTGGTTTATCTTCTAGCTCAGGGGTCAGAAAACTATAGCTTGCGAGCCACATGCAGCTCTTTTGGTACGTACTTGTGGTTCTGAAATAAAACTGGAAAAAAAGTAAAGGACATTATTCCAATAATGGTGATTTCATTTGTTGGTAAAATGTTTATGGCTCCTGAATAATTGTTAAATTGTTCTGAGAGACAGAACTGGCTCTTTCGTCTCAAAAGTTTACCGCCCCCTGCTCTAGCTTGCTATATAGCGCTTGAGGTATTAAAAGCTTGCAAGTGACCATCTAAAGTACCATAACAAAGGAAGGAGTCAAGAATAGCAGGATGAAATAGAAGGTGTGACTAATTACCTCCATAAGCAAATGTCCCCTATGCCATAAGACTAGAAGTAGATGGTACCTGGCTGTTCATTACTAACCATTTTGATCAAAGATCTCATAGAAGAATCCTGATCATGTGGAGAAAAATGCAGTACAGACCTCAAATTCTCCTGGACTCCAGATTTCCCGGAGCCATGGAGGCTGGATGAACCCCTAAAACTATTGTTCTGAAATCATCGGTAAGCCTTAAGTCAAAAATACCCCTTGAAGTCTTGAAACCGAACAGTTTAGCTAAGCAAGTAAAAAAATCTGCTCTGAACTTTATGCTTATTTAAGAACTATTCATATGAGATCAAATTGACAGAGCAACCTGAATGATTTGAAAAGATCCTTGAGAGAGAGCGAGTTAATGGTATCAGGGGAGAAAGTGAAGGTGAACAGGTATATGATAAACCAAGAAAGTGAAGGTGAGAACAGCTGCACACCTTAAAGAATGTCACTGAACTGTATACATGGATGAACAGTTGAACAGGTATATGATTTGCATATAATCTCCACAAAGACCCCCAAACCAATGTGGTTACCTTTTTCTCTGAATCAGGAAGTTCCCTCCATATCTGGGCGATTTTTTTAATTAGCTCTGAGTTTTTCGCATCTATGGATTGAAATAAAATAGTGGGGGAAAGTCACAATTTCATCTGTCTCAAGATTCATTTCTGAAGACTTCCAAGAAAATAATCTCCACAAGCAGCTTATACTAGAGATTTCTATAGCACGCACAACTTTATACTATGATTGAACGTTTTGCTCTCAACTGTCGCTGCCATTGAGTCCATACAGACTCATAACTCCCCCTGTGGGTTTCAGAGACTGTAACTGTTTACCAGAATAGAACACCATCTTTCTCCCACAGAGAGGCTGGTAGTTTCAAACTGCAGAACTAGCAGATCACAGCCCAATGCGTAACCACTGCACCACCAGGGCTCCACTACCTTATATCCCAAAGTAACATCCCCACAGCCATTTTAAGAATTCAACAAATAGCCTACGTGGTCATCTCTTTTAAGTAACATAAGACAAAAGTTATTTTCCCTTGCAAAGCTCATAAAATTAACAGTAATTTGCATGCTGCTTTATTACCTGCAAAGCACTTTTCCATTAAGTTATTTCATGCAGCTTCATTACCTTTCTTCCCTAAAGCAGACAAGGAGCTAAGCAAGAATGGAGTAACTCACCAGCGGTCTTCTAGGGCAACTAGACCCAAATCTCAGGTTTTCATTCTCCTCACAGGAAACCTGCCATCTACATGCAGCTATCTTAAAAAATCTTTACGAGTTCTCAACTATATTTAAAGCATCTCAATTTAGAGGCTTTCTATACCCTTAAAGAGTTAGTCTAGAAACCCACAGGGGCAGTTCTATCCTGTCCTATCGGGTCTCTGTGAGTCAGAATGGATTGGACAGCAGGCAGAAAGACACGCTCAAACTCACTGCCATCGAGCTGATCCTTAGCCATACTCTCTTGTGCAGACCACACAAAACTGACTAAATGACGGGATGGATGTTTCTGCAGCCACGGGATGCTTTGGGTGAGTGCAAATCAGGGGTGTGGTTTAAATGCTTCGCATCCTTTGCAACTGCACAGGCACAGCTCACTTTATTGTGCTTCCCTTTACTGCGCTTTGCAGATACGGCTTTTTTTTTTTTTAAACAAATTGAAGCTTCGTGACAATTCTGCTTCAACCAAGTATCTTGGCGCCATTTTTCCAACAGCGTGTGCTCACTTTGTGTCTCCTTGTCACATTTTGTTAATTTCTCACTGCTTTGGTATCTAACTTTCCTATACTCTGGAAAACCAACAAACAAGTATGACTTGGCTTTATTGGTTTTATTTTGTTCTAGGTTCACACCTACTGTATTTCCTAGTTACAG